GGTGACAGTGTCGTGCAGGGAGGGGACCGAACCTGCAAGGGTGAGAAGACGCGAAATGAAAGAGCGGCCTTGGGGAACGATGCGGATGGCATAATTGAGGTGCCCGAGCAGGGAGAGCAGCTCGCGCTTCGTGATGAAGGGAGAGGACAGGGCAGACTGCGACACGGCGCGCACGCGCTGGAGCTTTTCCAGCGGGAGGGAGGCCTCCATGGCGCGCGTGTCGAGGCGGATACCGAGAAACTCCAGGGCGGTGGCAGGGCCCACAGTCTTCTCCTCGGACAGGGGGACCCCGAAGGCCGATTTCAGCCTGCGGAGCGAGTCCCCGGAGCCGTCCGCGGGGGGATCGACGAGGAGAAAGTCATCTAGGAGATGGAGGACAGAGGGGAGCCGGACATTGTTTAACAAAATCCAGCACAAGGCCTCAGAAAGATTATTAAATAAGGAAGGACTGCTCCTGCAGCCAAACGTGAGGCGCGCAGCAAAATAAAAACTAGAACACCATTTTACCCCAAACAGGTGCCAGTGATCGGGGTAAATGGGCAGCAGCTTGAAAGCGTCCGTGATGTCTGCCTTTGACAGCCAGGACCCGGGGCCGAAGGCCTTCACCAGCCGGATTGCGTGATCCACGGTGGCGTACTGCAGGGAGAAAGATTCAAGAGGGATGAGACTGTTAATACTCGGAACGGGCCCGGAGCGGGGGTGGGACAAGTCAAAAATAAGGCGCTTCTTCCCGGAATATTTACGCGTGGCAACCCCCAGCGGGCTGGAGCGAAACGGGGAAAAGGGGGGCTTGGAAAAGGGGCCGATGATGTAGCCCTTGGACACCTCCCGCGCGATGAGCCGCGTGACAACGACGGGCTCGCGGAGAGCGGATTGCAGGTTGCGGGACACGTAGGACGCTGAGGGGAGGGCCGTCACGCCAACATGGAAGCCCCGGGCCAGGCCTGTCAGCAGGAAATCAACGAAGGCCCGATCAGGATGGAGCGTGAGCGCGTGGGCCAGCGCGGGCACGGAGACGGGGGTTGAGAGGTGGGTGGTGATCAAGGCCTGGACGAAGGCCCCCTGGAACGGCGGTCCTGCCGGGGGCGACGCGGGCATACGGAACGTGGATGGGCCTCCCTGCACAGACTACAAATATGGAGGTAGGCGCATGATGGAAAACTGCACACACTGGCGTTGAAAGAGCGGCACACGGGGTTCTGATGATGTACTTCTTCTTTGGGGAACGGAGGCGCGCGGGGCCTAGGAGCCTGACTAGCGGCGGTGTCGAACGGAACAGAGGGGCAGAGGGGAGAGCTGTGCCCGGCAGCGCCGCACCGGGAGCAGGAGACCACGGGGGCACCGCCAACAGACAGCAGCAAAACCTCGGTGTCCATGACCGCCCAGTCCACCCTGACATTCGCCTGGGAGACGAGGGCCGCGGCCTTGGCGGCGAAGGCCCGATGGTAGCGGTAAAAAACGCTACCGCCGTAGCGGAGGGCCAGGTCCCCCATCAGGCCCAGATAGGCGTCCAGCTCGGGCCTGCGCTCGGGGTATACGGAGCAGAGAACGTCGCGGTATACGCCGAAGGCCACGAGGAACTCCCCGATGGACAACTCCCGCGACAGGCGGGGATCAGCAGCCTTGACGACCGCGGTGACCAGGGAGGAAGCCGCCACCTGCCTGTCACACTCGGGGGAGGGGAGGATGAGGGAAACCAAGTTTATATAGCGTCCTAGCAGAATCTTAGTCCGCAGGCGCGGGGAGACGTTGGAATAGGCATTTATGAAAGGCCTACCCGACGCAGCAGTAGCCACGGCAGTGGAGAGGGAGAAGCCGATATCCGGGGAGCCGCCGGGAGGCGCAGCGGCAGGAGCAGCCACCGGAGCCACGGCGGGGGTGGGAGGTTGGGACTCGACAGCGCGGAGCCGGCCGGACACTGCGGCCATCGAGCTCTGGAGAGACGACACCGCCGACAGGATGGCGTCCGTGCGCGCGCAGAGGAGGTCACGGTCCTGAGCCGCAGCTGCCACGTGGGCCACGAAGGCTGCAGCGAAAGGATCTGGCTGGGGAGGGGGAAACCCGGGAACCGCAGGGGCGGCCCGGGAGACGTCGATGAGGCAAGGCGCTGGGGCGGGCACGGGGCAGGCCGACGAAGCCGGGGGAAGCAGGGGCCCGTCGAGCGCCGAGGGAGGGGGGCAGGCGCGCGTTGGCTGCAGGTGCCTGGCCTTGCGACGGCGCTTGCGAGGAGGGGAGTCCGGAGCCGGGGGAGGGGAGGCGGAATCCGCTGACGGCTGCTCCACGAGGCTCTGGAGCTGCAGCGGGGTTGCACCCGGACCTGGCACAATGCCGCGGGCCGCGAGGAAGGTGCGGACGGACCCAGCATCCTGGGACGCCAGGCGCGCGCTCTTCCGGGACCGGTTGGGCACAGGCGAGGGGGGAATGAACACATCGTTCAGAGAGCCAGGCGTCGAGCCCGAAACAGACGGGGACGCACGAGCACGGGGCGAAGATTGCATGGTGGACAATTGCATTACGCTGACATACACTTGCAGACTTCGGAAGGCCGGGAAGTGGGCGTCTCCGGCTTTTAACTTGCTGTCCTGGTGGTAATTGGTTGACTGGATGAGGGCGTTGCTGGTATTGATGAGTCGAGGAAGAGCAGCCTGTGGCCTGGGCAGCAGCAGCCGGGTCTACCACCGTGAACTTTCGGGAAAGCTCCATATGTATAAAATGTTATGTCCTGCACTTGATGTAATCCATTTGTCACTTTGTTGGAGTAGAAAATATGTTTTTGATTTTTAAGGCAACTGCCATATACAAAATTGCCTTGCCTTGTTAAAAATAAAGTTTTAACACAATTGTGTATTTGTGTATGCTTAGTCAAAGTAGATGTTTCCATTGTAGAGCAAGGTTATTGAGTGCTTAATTGTTAATGTTTATGTGTGAAACTAGAGAAAGGTTCTTCAGATTTATCTTGTCTAGTTAGAGGTTGGGTCTTTTCATCTCACATCCTAGAGCTCGGATCTACAAGATGAGATCCTCGAGGATGTGAGATGAAAGATCCAACCTCTGACTAGACTAAAGATGACAATTGTATTTATTTTACACTACACTAGTTTTGATTACACATTAATATTAAAATCTATTTAAAAAATAAACAATGATGTTAATTAAATCATAATTAATATAGTTAACCCTATAGGCGCCACGGTCGACTTAAGTGAGTGTCAAAATTCATTCATACTCCCTGCCACTAGTTTGCAGACATGACAGACTACTTCCTTGGCCCCAAAAAACTTCATGCTCCCATGGAAAATATTAGAGCAAAACCGCGACCAGTGCAGAAATCATAGTGAAGCGATGCAGCCTGCGAGTGTCATACCGCACCAAACACTAACTTTAGACACTTTGCACAGGGTCTGCAGTGGGAACAGTGTTTCTTAGAGTAAGGCCAGTCATTGGGCGATTCGGAGACAGGTTAGATTTGCGGAAAACAAGCCTGGAACTTGCGTCGGGGCACCGCGCCGCGACCTCCCGCCTCCACTGATGTTTCCGCTAAAGTCTCCGCTAAAAGTGCTTCCCACATATTTATTTTCATGCCTCCTGTAATCACCGGGACAGCAACGTGTTGGAGAAGCCTTGTCTTGTGTGTGTTAGACGAGAGAGAGATCAGGGGAGATGAGAGAGATAGTGATGGGAAAACCGGTTCTTTCCTCTGATTCGATTCTTTAACTCTCGAACAGTAAATTGAACGAGTCCCGAACGAATCATTTCGTTCATTTGTACAGCAGATGGCGCTGTAGTGGCCCACAATGCAGGACTCATGCCGACGACGTGTTTTCTCCAACTATAAATACTGAAGACAAGATGGTTGTGCTTACGGTGACAAAGTATAACACACAAAATGCCATAAGCTATTCAAGCCATTTGAAAACCCAGGAAAGCTAACACACACCACAATAATGTAACTTGTGTCCTGTATCCTCTCTGTTATCATTGTTTAACAGCACGGCAGTCTGTGTAACTGTCACGTGACAGTGAAAACAGACCAATCAGAGAGAAGCAATGTTGCTGGCGCACAGTGTCAGCCTGAGCCAGAGCTGTGAACCGATGAACGATGAACGAGAAAGACCCGGTCAGCCCGCGAGTCATGTGACAAAGGAACCAGTTGGACGAACGAGAACGAAGTACTGAGCTGTGAACGATGAACGAGAAAGACCCGGTCAGCCCGCGAGTCATGTGACAAATGAACGATTTGAACGAGAACAAGTACTGCTCTGCTCCACAGCCTAAGCAGACAGAGACCCTTTCGGCCGAGCAGTCGATCACATGACAGCTGGGGAGAGGACAGCGAATGTAAAACTAATTTTGACAATTAATGATACAATTAAAACAAAAAATAATAGTTGATGAGTTGCCTATGTTTACATGGTGCATTTATTGTGTCCAAAAAGTGACATTATTATTATTACTATTATTGTTATTTTTATTGTGTTTGTTGTTATCATTGTTATGTTTTATTATTTTGTGGCAGAGTATAACACAATAAATATGCTGATAAAATTTTCGAAAATATTTATTTTTAAAGAGACTTATATATAAAACACACTTTACATTATATACACAACACTACACACATCTAAGAGACAAAAATAAAGTTAAATAGAAAAAGTTAAAGAATAAAATTAAATAAAAACCAAACCAACAATATTGCACAATTAAAAGTGACACATGTGTATTATATACACAACATACACATCTAAGAGTAAGAGACATAAAGTTAAATAGAAAAAGTTAAATAAGAATAAAATTAAATAAAAAGCAAACCAAACCAACAATATTGCACAATTAAAAGGGACACATGTATATTATATATACAACACTATACACATCTAAGAGACATAAATAAAGTTAAATAGAAAAAGTTAAATAAGAAAAAAAATTAAATAAAAACCAAACCAAACCAAACCAACAATATTGCACAATTAAAAGTGACACATGTATATTAAAGGCCAGCTTTAAGGCAAGTTGGCATTTAGAAACACAAGCTGGCGGACCTTGGAGGGGCTGAGCCTGTTCCGTCTGTCTGTGATTATCTGCCCAGTCTTTGAGAAAACTCTCTCAGAGGGCACAGATGTGGCCACAATGCACAGTCTAGTTTTCATCACCTCACACAGAGTTTTGAATACGGGCGAGCACATCCTCCACCATGCCAGAGGATCTGATGAGCGGGATAGGAGTGGCTCTGCCAAGTAGGCCCGCATCTCCATCATGGCAGCAGTTGAGGTGCTCGATGTGGCAGAATCTGAGGAAGTGGAAGCCCTGGTGCTTGCAACCCTCTCATCGAAGTCTTCCCAAAACATGGCCCCTGTGCTGGCAGCCACAGAGGGATTTTGAGACTCCTCCTCCTCACTGTGACTGGGGTGGTTGTGTGCTGCAGCAGCTGTGATTCTCTTCACAGTGTCCTCTGCAGCCTTGCTGTTAACAAAAGCTTGCTTTTTGAACCTTGGGTCCAAACAAGTTGCATCAGCAAGCTTCTCAATATGCTCCACCTTGCTGAACCTCTTCTGCATTTCAGACATCAGGCTGTCCACCAGTTTTTTAATAGGTTCATGGACTGACGGGCTTCTTTGATGGCGAGCAACAATCCTCTGAAGACCTCTTGCCATCAGAATCACTTTGGAGGCAGTCACAAACCTACAGACAGAGTTCAATTATTCATATTTTGTTCTCAAAAGCAGTTATAACAGTGTACTATCACAGATCAATGTCATGTGTCTTTGTTAACAGTAAGGATACAGTTAAAATCCATCACTAACTATATATATATTTTTAAATATGAAGTTTGTGCTTATTAAAAGTGAGTTAGTTTAATATAAATGAATTACTTTAACTACATACCTCTCAGCGCTCACTTCAACGGTGACCTCCTCAAAAGGTTTGAGGATGTCCGCTGTTTCCTGAGCAATTTCCCATTCCTCTGTGGACAGTGTGGATAGGGGTGCATTGATAAGTGCCAGGGTGGAGATGACTGGATCCTTTACATCAATGAACCTTTTCACCATATAAAATGGTGGAATTCCACCTTGTAACCACATCCTGCTTCAAGCGCAGCTGCTCCTGGCCCATCTGTTGCTGTGTGGCCTTCAGCTTGTCTGAAGCAACTGTGCTTCTGTGGAAGTATTCCACCACAGCTTTTATTTTATTAACTGTACCCTGAACCTCTCTAAGTGCAGCTCTCACAACGAGATTTAAAACATGTGCAAAGCATGGTATGTGGTCCCAGTGCAGGTGGTCTCTCAGGGCTGCCACGATGTTGCTGGCATTGTCTGTGACACAAGCTACAACTTTGTCACTGACACCCCATTCATCTGCAACTCTCTTCAACTCACTTGCCAGGTGAGCAGAAGTGTGTCTGTCTGTCAAGACAAAACAGTCCAGGAGATGGGATGTCATTGTAAAATCCTGTACATAGTGGCAGGTCACAGACATGTAGCTTGTGGTTGTTACAGATGTCCAGCAGTCAGTTGTGAGGCATACAGCAGGAGCATTCTTGATTTTCTCCAACAACTCAGCTCTTATCTTTCCATACATCTTTGGCAGTAGAGTTTGAGAAAGTGTTTTCCTGCTTGGCAGAGTGTATGAAGGGTCCAGGGTCTTTGTGAATTCTTTGAAGCCTTTGTCCTCAACGATGGAGAATGGTTGATAGTCAGAAGCTATCATTTTAACCAGTGCTTCATCCAGTTTGCTCTGCCTGAGTGGATCCATTGGCCTTGTAATGTAAGTGCCCATAAGTGTTTGTTGTGGCCTCCGTGGTCTAACTGCTGTTTGGGTGGTGGTGGGTGCTGCTGGTGTACTGGATATTGCAGAAGCTGTAGCCAGTGTTGCAGCAGCAGTGATTTGAGGTCCAGATAAAGTGCTACTGGTGGAGATATTTGCAGCTGCTGCAGTGGCTCCATCGTCACTCTCCCCCCTCACTTGTGTTAACTGCACAGTTGGATGTGCCGTTTTAAGGTGTCTTCTCAAATTTGAAGTGCTTCCTCCTTGGGTTGATAAAATCCTTTTGCAAATATTGCATTTGGATTTAGTGGCTGAAACCTCACTGAAATGGTTCCAAATGTCACTCCTTTTCCTTCCACTCATTTTTCTGACCTGCTCAGACCCCTGTTGTTTGTGTTCTGATTTTACCTGGCACTTAATGTAAATGTAGGTGATGGGTGGGGGGATGGGTAACTGCCCATCATGGAGCCTTGAATGACAGTAGCGCTCAATTTGTGGCCCAGAATCACGTCACTCCTAGTAGTTCACTCTGTGCGACATTAAAATGTGACGAGGTGAAAAAAGCTATATCATTAGAGTCAAACAATTGCCACTTTGCACACAATTTCATGCCAAACCCCATTTAGCTCAGGTAGTAGAAAAATGTATAAATAATTACGCCAACTTGTGACGTGAATTAGTTTCGCACAGTGGGAGTGGATGCGACACCGGCATGTGCCGTGACTATAACCGAGTGAACCCCCTGTTGCGCTGTGTCAAAGTGTGAACGACTAATTATGCTCTCAAGTGCTGTTAAACCAGTATGCAAATTTGGGCTATGTGAGCTGCTGATCAGAGGCTCTAAAGTTAACATTTAGTGAGAATTTGTGGTGCGTTTCCACCTCCTTTTCTCATCCGATGCAAACCCGTTATGTAGGCTATCAGACTGACAGCGATACTGCAGCAGCAGACGAGCAGAGCAATACACAGATTAATATAGCGCAGGTAGACTTATATAAAAAATAAAAAAATCTCATGAAATTGTGACTTTTTCTCCGGACATGTCACAGAAAGACGTGTGCAGAAAGTTTTGAACATGAGCAAAAGCAGAGTGGGTAACCGGAGCTATTAAGTGCAGCCTAGATGTTTAACGTAATTAAAATTATATTATTCAAATAAAAAAGGTTAAAAGAACCGGTGACCGCTGATTAGTTATGATTTCATGAATGAATAACGTATTGTGGTATTTTATTATTGTGTGGCAAATAACACAAAGTTAACACGTTGATATAATTTTCTAAAGTATTTATTTACAAACACATTCATTATATAGGCTATACAATAACACAACAAGGACTGAAGACCACTATAATTATGATTTCGTGAATAAATAATCTATATCGGGTGTCACATGACAAATAAACTGTAGATATCAGACATCAATCATTTCCTTGTTCAGCTCTCAGTCAACAGTCCCCCAGCCCCGTAGCTGTCTGAGCCAGCCACAGCTGTCACGTGACGAATGAACGAAAGAGCAATCCGTCAGGATCCGTATGAACGAATCGTGAAGGAACTGCAGTGCTTGCTGCTCACAGACAGCCTGTCTGTCACGTGACTAAAGAACTGGGACCTGAGAATGGATCCAGCTGAGTGAGTGGTGAACGAATCATTTCTGTTTCCTGTCTGCTGCTGACTGAGCTCATGCAGCTGCCGCCATGTGGCGAGAGAAGGTACTGCATGAAAATGAACGAATCGCTCCCTGAGAAGACTCGTTACTCCCGAGTCATATAAAAGATTAGTTCATTTTGAACGAATCGTTCACGAACGATACAACACTAGAGAGAGAGAGCAGGGGAGACAGCTGCAGCAGGAGAATCGCGGTGACGCGCTTCACCTGGAGGCGCGAGTCTGGGCAGACTGCTCACAGCAGCAGCATGATAAGTATTTTTTACTATTTTCATGAACATTTACAATGTTACAGTGTGTGTTCTGTGTGTGTTCATGTATAAGTGATCAATATATGTCTGTCAGTTAGAAAAATACAAACATTGAATGAAAATCACGTCATAATAATCAAATGGGATTTATTCTCTACATAAACTTTGGACCATCCTTAATATTATTTAATTTAAAAAAAACTTTGGCGCTTAAAGGGTTAATAATCATAACTAATATTGTTAATAAATCAAAACTAATATTGTTAATACATAATAACTAAGTGTTAATTAAATCCAAAGTACAATGCTAGTAATGCACTTAAATCCAAATTCATATTGTTAATTAAATCCAAATTCATATTGTTAATTAAATCCAAATTCATATTGTTAATTAAATCCAACTTAACATTGTCAATAACCATTTAACTATGGAGGACCAAAAATGACTAAAGTATATTAATAAATACATTCATTTTGGACAATAAAAACTAAATATTTACATTGATATGCTAAATATTACTCTGAAATCAAATAAATATACTTTTATTTAGGTTATTTATCAAAATCTACATGTTTTCCTTTATTTATTTATCCATTTATTGCATATATTTATTTATGTATTTCTACATTTCTTCATTTATTTATTTATGTATTTCTGTGTCGCTGCATTTCTTCATTTATTTATTTATGTATTTCTACATTTCTTCATTTACTTATTTATGTATTTCTGTGTCGCTACATTTCTTCATTTATTTATTTATGTATTTCTACATTTCTTCATTTATTTATTTATGTATTTCTGTGTCGCTACATTTCTACATTTATTTATTTATGTATTTCTGTGTTCCTGTATGCTAATTAGGTGGGCGGTGCTGAACTCAATCTAGAACAGGATTGGTTAGGATTGCGTGAACTCTGGTCTCGATCATTACTGCCTCACATTACGGTACTCTGTTAGCTAGCTAGAGATCCTCTGTGCACTTTTGTGTGGTATGATGGCAGTTTCGAATGTAAGTTTTTTAGGAGCCATTGCTCATCAATTAAGAGCATTAGCAAATGATGTTAATGATGTTGAGCATAATGCACCTGAGGACTATCTACTCTTTCGGCTGGAAAGACTATTAAATGTTTTAGTTCATCACAGTGCTGACCCAGAGGTAGACTTTGATGCAACTGTGCTGGACGCTCTTCAACAAGCTATACAGCAGCTTCACATCCTCTCACAAACCGAGAAGGCTAAAGCCTAGCGTAAATCGGACTGGCAACTGATTATATCCGTCGCATATGAGTTGCTGCCCCGCACACATCGACAATCTGACGAAAACGGGCAACTCCCAGTAGCAGACCAGTCTCAGGAATAACAGCGCGTACATCGACAGCAACTGGCCTCAACTACAGTGTGTTTTCTGACATAAACTTTAGAGGGCGCGCAATACACGCAATACACGCACGTTGTCAGAGCGGCGCATGGAGCGCGCACATCGGGTCATGTCTCCGAAACTGAGGACAACTAGTTGCCGAAAAGTAGAACACGGGCAACTGACTGAAACTGGAGACCGACTGTTCATCTCCAGTTGTAAGAGCGCGCACATTGACCGATTTCAACTGATCATCTCCATCATCTCCTCTCAGTTGCCAAAAGCCGCCTTGCAACTTGTCTCCAGTTTCTCTGTCGATGTACGCTAGGCTTAACTTTGCTTCTGTCTGGTTGCCCTGGCTGACCTACTGCCCACCAATCCTGTTCTAGATTGAGTTCAGCCACCGCCCGCCTAATTAGCATACGGCAAATACCTCATCACTAACAAATAAATCAGATTAGTCCTTAATTACAACAGGGAAAGCAATGGAAATAAAACACTACTCAAGTACAAAACGCGGTCAGACAAATACAAGATCATTATTGAAGCATTTACAGCTTTATAATGAAACATAGCTACCAACTTAATTTTGTAATATTTTGTGCCCCCTCCTTGCGTGCATCTTACAAAAGTCCCGTCGTGCACTGCAACAGTGACATCTCCCCACTGTGGGACGAATAAAAGGACTCTAATATCATCATTCCAACATTTTACATTTTTACTGATTTTACTTCAGTAAAAGGTTTTATTATAATGAATGTGAAGTATGAATTATATACACCCGCACACACAGACAGCGCTTATACACGCGACGCATAACATGTGGTTCACTATAATCAAAAAACCAAGGCTAGTGAGTAAAGACATTTACAACATAGATTTAGTTTTCTCCGTATCAAAAAATGCAATTTACAATTCATAACATTAAAACAAAAAATGAAGTACCGGTACTCCAGACGCTTTGCCTTCCCTTCGACGGAAAATATCCTGAGCCACTGGAAACCTCGCTCTCAGCCCAAGCTGATCTGGATTCAGGGTTCTCGGAAAAGCTGCTCTAAAAAGCTAGGCAGGAGCTAAAACCTTCTTCTCCGGACATAATTTCTATCAAAACAGAGCACCAAAAGAGGAACGGCACTGCAGCTGACTGTGTGGCTCCGCGTCTCCGTGCGAGAGTGATAACACTAGGCCCCCGTCCCAATACTCGCACTGCCACCCTCAGCAAGCCCCTCATTTGCGCGTTCCCGATAAAGGTGCGAGTGCGTAGGGTGTCCCAATCATGATGTATTAGGTCCCAATTCTCAGGGAGGTTATTTGGCTTGGGTTGGCCCCTCCCCATTGCGCCCTGATCCACACTTCGCCGTAGCTGCTCCTATGTGCGCACGCTGGAAAAAAGAGGATGGCGGCGGAGGCGGTAAGCACTGTGGCAGGAGCAGCTCTCGACTCTTGGTGGGGGAAAAAAAGCATCTTTCCAATCCCCCCCCTTCCAAAAAACTGAAGACTCGCACTAGAAGAGTAACCTCGACCAAGCGCAAAAGTGAAAACAAACCACCTGTACTCCGACTAATCTCTAACAACAAAAAGCGTAAAATGGAGCAAGACACCGCGGACCAGCATAGTGGCGCGCCTAAAGCACGACGAAGAGCAAGGTTCTACATCGAAAAGTCCATTGAGGAGCGTGAAACGACTGTTGATTTTCTCATCGGCAGAGGTACAAGACATAAAAAAGGGACAGCAAGGAAAACAGAAACAAGAGGTAAGACAAAGCCTGAAGAAATGATCCAACAGCTTGAAAGCAAAAGTGGATGAATTGGCGCGTTACAAGCGTAGAGAATTTACGTTTGCGTGGGCTGCAAGAGAGAGAAATGAAGAATGAGCAGTGGTTGCCACTCTCAGTATAGGGAAAAGTACTATTGGCTGTCCCAAAAGTCGCTAGACAGTCGCTAAATGACGTCATCGGCCTAATTTGCATAATTTGCCATTTGCAAATAACTGTAAAGGACGGCTGTAGAGAGAGGAATACGGGTGCGAGGAGAGCCAGATAGTGAGTATAAAACCAACCCTAATATGTTTAGGAACTACAATGTAACCAAAATAATTTCAACATTAAACACATTTAATGATTTTATGCTTTTGTCTGAACCACATTACACACATCAGTTTTGTCCTGTATTGTTTAAATGTTATAACAGCAAATGTAATCAAAGATGTTGTGGGTGAAAGTGCTAGCATCTACAACCAACCCTCCTTCAGGGTTTGATTCCGACTCCTTTCTGTACTTTTGACTGAAGAGTTTAAACTGAGCCATGCTGAGCTAGCTAGCAAGATCGTATGTCACAGAGAGGTAGGCTACACACACAGTGGACGAGGTGAATAAGTGACTGAGCTGCTGAGGTTGTGTGAGTCAAATGCAGTGATTTATTTGTGTGACAGCGTCACAGCGAAGAAACGTTTACATTTAAATCCCGCTCTGCAAGCCAGCGGCGGCTTTTGCGCAAGCGCATTTCATTTGCAGTCCGGACGCCGAGTGGTGAGGGTCTCTCTCTCTCTCTCTCTCTCTCTCTGCTCCGCCCATAGACTAGCTGGGACTGCTGCGCAAGGCTACTGTGAGACTGGCCGCCTGTAAGTGCTTTGGGACGGGGGAGGAGCTCACGTTGAGGACAGCAGAACAATACGTGCTTCACGAGTCTCCAAAACACCAGATAAGTCGCCAAAACACCAGATAAGTCGCCAATAACACCAGAAAAAGTCGCTAGATTTGTCGCTAGTCGCTTTTTTGAAAAAAAGTCGCTATAGGGGTCTGAAAAGTCGCTAAATCTAGCGACAAAGTCGCTAAGTTGGCAACACTGCGTGACAATGACTATATAAACTGTGTACTGCCTTTATTCTGTCTGAGAGAAAGAAACAGAGTAAACCAGTGGAACTTGAGAGAAACTTAAATAAACTTCCAGAGTTTGGCGCACCACGATCCGTCTCTGTCTGCTAAATCCTAACAGAAAGACAAAAAGTAACTATTCAAATGTGGGTGCAGATACTCAGATGTTATTGAACAGACAGGTCTGATCAATACGATAAGAACAACTTAATCAAGAGGGGAATATTTGTTTCCGTAAGTAACCTTTTAAAGTAACTTTTTTTTTGTCATTGTTCCATTCCTTTGAGAAATGGCCCTCTCTCTTCGACTGGGGTTCTGGACGTACAATCCCCATGAGGCGGAGCAGCGTCAGTCTGCTACTGTGCTCACTATATACACAGTGCAAGTGTTATATACAACTTTATTAAAGCTTGGGTACACAACTTTCAAACCACAACAAATGCACTATACTATGTAATCAAATCCGTTTACTTGTTATTTGCTCAAAAACCGTTTTGTTCTAGCACTAGTTTTCCAATGCAAAAGATGAGCTTCAAAAAACTTTCCTAATCCAGCCCCCAACCAAAATGACACCCCTGACATGACATTTCAGCCCAAACTAGATCCAGACGTGCGTAATAGTTTAATCCCTAGAAGGGAAAAACATTCTGACCCAAAGGTGGGCTTCATTGTTCCACAATATTGCTCTATGTCAGTGGGTTTGACAACATTATAACAAAGTAATAAAAATATATTTTGACTAATGTTTGATCCTCCAAAATCTTCTTGCATCTACTTTCTATTTCACACTCCTGCTGTATAAATACCTAATATTTTATTCTGAAAGCCTGGGATACAACCTTTTAACATGTCTCCAATTAGAATCATTTCTGCGTGACTTCCTCCAGTGTAGTGTACGCCACACTGGTTTGATTGAAGGTTTGCTTTGATGGACTGCTCAAATGTGGCATCTATATTCAAATCCAAATGTTGTGAGCATATTTGTGTGTTCACAGTTCCCCACGCAGTCTGATCATGTTATCCTCCGCATGACACTTCGCTCTGGGCTCACTGCAGTCACACATTAGAAAGAGCGCTGTCCCGTCCCCCTGTAATAGGCTATACCCAGATCCCACACATCCGCAAGCCGCAGCCTCACCACGGGCTCCCGACAAATGAAAAACACAAGTGAAAATTGAAAATATGGAAATTCTCAGTCAAGGTGTATTTTTAACCAGGTCTGTTGTGCTGTTGAGATGAATACAGTGATCGAGACAAGAGGCGTGAAGTACGAAAAGGCAAAATATAGGAAGTTGCTGATGCATAACAATGGTGTATTGGCATTAGAATGGGATTTCTATAGTTGGCTTTTCAAGGCAGGCAACTCCGTCCTGACGCAGCTATTTTGTTTGAGTTCTTGTTTGGTGTGTATAAATGATTGAATTTTATTATTGAACTTCTCTTTCCGCTGGTGTCTGAGCCTGCGCTAGCTTTAGCCAATCAGCGCCGGGTTAGCCTCAAGTCCCACCAGGGCCCAAGGAGTACATACCACGGAGGAGGGACTCTGTTGGGCCTTTTAGAAGTTCCTGTAAATGGCCCTGTGGGGAAAGAGAATCAAACTGAAAACACATTGGTATTGCTCCATAAGGGGTAGATAACCAATTGATAATTGTCAATAATACACACACACCACCGGCCAAACCTCCCTTCCATCACATGGTCTATGCTGTGGGCATCAATCTCACACTTGCATTTACAGCTTCAGCACTTCACCTTTAAACTGTTTTCTAATTTGTAACTGGTTTGACAATTTCAAGTAGTTATCCCAGAGGTCTTTACGAAAACGTCAAATTCGCCAACACAGGTCAGAGAATCGAATAGTTCAAACACAAGATAAAAAACACATAGAGGCATTGGTCCATAAGGAGCAGAAGACCAATGTCCATAAATGTTCATAAAGTCCATGTTGTTGAATGTTGAGTGTCATGGATTATCACCACTGTCTTCAGACCCTCCTGCATTGGTAAGGAAAGTGAGAAATCTCAGGGAGGACCACAAACGGACGGGCTGTAGATTCAGGATTCAGGCTGTAGAACGAGGACAGTGGCAATGCAGGACTAAGGCTGTAAATCTTAGTCTGTAACTATCTCTGGCATGGAATAGATTCTGTAAATGAGGTGGCAGAGAGTCTCCAGATGCCCTGAATGTCTTGTGATTCTTACCATGGCCAGTGAAATAACCGCAGAATACAAACGGTCCAGACCTGTTGTGCTTACGTTCACTTTTTAGGGGATTTCAGATGTTGCAAGAGTGCGTTTTGAACAATTAATCAGACAAGGCCACTAATCGGATTTTGCTTGCATGCTTGAAAATGTTCTGACTGGCAGAAAGCTTATGCCATCTCAACTCTTATAAGCTGTCTCCCAACTCAACAATATCATACCGCCATATTTGGAAGAGACACATACTTCATGAGCAGACGGCATTTAAACATAATAAATATATGTTTTACTACATTAGCAATCACTTTACTGAAAACTAAATCAAGATATATATATTGAACACTGACAGTTCAGTGATCAGCAAAACAAACTTTGGAAGATGTCCCTTCAGCTAATTATACCTTTTGTCAACCCCATTACTGAGATGAAAATATCTGAAGTCATTAGTAAAGTGCAGTAGTCTGTCGTCTCTGTAGCCTGATATTTTTAATAAAACATCAAATATGAGGGCTAAGGTTAATTAGCTCTCCAGCCTCAAAGTCTATTAAAATGCTGCAGCAGAAGCAGACTGGTGCAACACACGTATTAATATCTAAAGAGAAATACGGTTGAAATTCGAATATGTCTTTTCTCTATTATACCCGTCTGAAAGATTGCGTTGCTGAACGTGTTGAATGAGTGAGAGACAGGGGAGTGGAGTTAAATAAGCCACTGTTCAACATTCATGGTCTTTGGTCATCTGCCCCTTTTGGATCATTGGCTGTATGTGTTTTTTTTTTGTCTTATTCTCTGATCTGTGTTAGCGAATTTGACGGTTTTGTAACATACTCGGAGATAACTACTGTAGACATTTAGAAGTGGCTTTACAAGAATGAATTGAATTGAATTAAAATAAATCCAGTTAGATTTTTAAGAGAAGGTCATTTTTATCCACATATAGGCTGCACTTGAATTTAGCCTGCAAGTTTTCATGCTGTATTGTAGGCAAGGCAAGGCAAGGTTATTTGTATAGAGCACAGTTCACAATGCAACTCAAAGTGCTTCACAAAACAAGAAGGTAGCTTTTAACCAATGTGTGTTTTGCATTCTGGTAAATCTGATCATTTTTGACAATATACCCATCAAAATAGGTCCCATCCCTAATAAAACTTGATGGAGTTTCAATTCAATTCAATTCAACAGAGAATAAACAGTTAAAACACAGAAAATGCAATGAACAAAATCCTTAAGGGCCGGATAACGAATATCCACAGATTTGAATGGAAATCCAAACCATGTAATCATAAGATAAGATAATGTTCCTTTTTTTGGCATGTCATACCAATGCTTTGCAAAGTAATATGGCACAAAAATGCATGACAGAGAACAGAAATCCATAGATTCTGACTTAAAATAATGTATTTCACATAGAAAATATATGTTATGGCAACGACAGCAGCACAACACCTTCAGACAGACACACAAAACTAAACATCTAAAAACAGGAATGAAGAGTGCAATGCTGAAGCTAAGAGTCGCATGCTTGGTTTTTGAAAGAGTGTAGTAAGTCCGAGTTTCTGAGGTGAGGGGGGAGAGAGTTCCAGAAAGTGGGAGCAGAGATGGCAAATGCTCAGCCCCCCAAGGTTCATTGCTTGACAGGGGGACGGTAGGGCTGTAGAAGTGAGGTATGGAGGAGCGAGGTTATGGGGGGCTTTGTAGGTGATGAGGAGGATATTGAAATGGATGCGCTGTTTGATGGGGAGCCAGTGGACAGGGCTGATGTGTTCTCTGGTGCAGATTTGAGTGATGAGGCCGGCGGTGGAGTTTTGGACATATTGCAGTTTTAGGAAATCTGATGAACATTACCAATGTTCCCTTCAGAAAAGTTCAAAAGAGAGGACCACCCTCACTCAGCTAATCAGCTCTCACAGTATAGCTATTTTGGCTTGTGTTCTATAGCCTAGGTTGTTTTATTTTACATAATCAACTTTGCTTTACGCTTTAACAGCTCAGGCTAAAAAAGCATTTTAAGCTATTCACGTTGCTATTCACATTGGTCTGTGCGTGTGTGTTTGTGTGTGTATGTGTGTGTGTCTTATTTATAATATAACGTATGATGAACACCAACATTTCCCCATTGTACGATGAATAAAGGATCCCGCCATGAGCATAGTTGAGGAATGCACCTTTAATAATTCAACTGTGATACATCAACTTGGCTCTTAGCACAAATAATAACTAAAAGTACTCTTATTTCAGAGAATAGGCTAAGATAAGTTAAGATAAGAGTTCCTTTATTCGTCCCACAGTGGGGAAATTTCGATGTTGCAGCGCACATACAGGACAGTAGTAAGAGCACACAGGGAGCACACAACATATACAAAATACGTAGTGTTCTGTCTCCCCCCCTTTCTTCTTTAGAAATCACGCTCACGTCGGGACACGGTAACCATCCCTCATCAATCGTCCGCACACGCAGCCTCCCGCCACGACAGCGCAGCCAGCCGGTAAACCGCCGCGTTTTCCAGATGACTTATGGCCGTTATATTTTTAAATTGGCCCTCTCAAGCACCTCTGATAAATCAACACACAGGACATTAAACGGTTCATTATTATCCCCATATGATTCACGGTCAGTGGAGGCCTCTGTGTAGCCGGAAAGAGGAAAGCGGTGGTGGCAGTGGTGGTGGTGGACATGACAAAACCGCTTCTCAGCCAGACGTGGATTCGTGTTGGGACAGGCACGTCTCGTTGATTTACGGTCCGGTGAAGACGGAGCTTTGGACTGAGCTCCGGGTGCAGCAGGGTGGAAGGTGACGCGACGTACGCCTGGTGCACATGGGTAAGTGTGGGGAATGAACAAGCAGTCACTTAAGGGATGTAAAGTAGCCTAAGGCATGATGGTGTGATGATAAGCCTGGATGTCTCTCTATGTACTGTATGTAGACGGATGGACTGGGGTGAGGATGGAAGTAAGTATGTATTTCAAACTTTTTTATTTTCCATCTGGCATAACAAAACAAAACAGGATACAGACGATTAGTTTTAAAAATACAGTTTGAAAAGGGTTGGACGACGATCACTTAAAAATACAGGCCCAAACACTTCCCTTTTGAATCACTGAATCACATTTGAACATGCTTTTAAATTGATACATTTTGACGCACACACAGGGAGAACATGCAAACTCCACTCAGAAATACCCTGAGATTCAAACCCCATACCTTATTGCGGAGAAGCGAGAGTTCCAACCACTCAGCCACCGTGTTGACTGACTCCTCTGACTCCACCGGCACAGAAAGACAGTCGATGGTTTTTCCCTTCCTGCTGCTGTCAGACTGTACAATGAGAACTGCTGTACTGCACATGTCATCTCATCTGTAAATAGCTAATTCTGCATGTTCACTGTGCAATATTGTAATTTCAGAATGTTCACTGAATGTCATTTTAAAAACGAATTATACTGCCAGATATGTATATAATTTAAACTGTCTATAGATATATACATGTCAATAGATACATTGATATTTACTTGCTGCTCCTTTCCAGGATTTACAGCTAGTTTAGAAGCATTACAGCTACTTGTATTGTTTATTTTGTGTGCTTCTTCTGCTCGTACTACTGTCCCTTATGTGTGCTGCAACATCGACATTTCCCCACTGTGGGACAAATAAAGTTTCTCTTATAGTATTTTATCTTTTTACTTTATTCACCAATTTGCTGAAGCTATGTCCTATTCCCAGCAAATGTGTTCTATACTGGCCACAAAACTACCTTTTAGCCACCCAGATACGGTGTTACACAGAGTGAGAAATTTAGTGGCAACTCTATTGTGCTGAGTCCGAAAGATGTTTTACCACGTTCAGGAGTAACAGCGAGTGGGATGGAAGATGAATTGGCCCTTTTGAGCTCTTGATCATAACACAACATTGTTCCCAGATCAAAAACAGACCTTGAGTTTAGGAAGAACTTTTGCTGTTAAAAGAAAGTCACGGTCAAGGAAAAGTCACAGTATTTTTCTGTTTGGAGAAGCTGGTGAAAGTACTTGTAGGCCGAATAAAACACCCAAGATTGGATCTGTTTTGCAAAGAGGAGGAATTAAAATCTGGAGTGGTTTTTAGCTCATTCCAAATTAATATACAAAGACTTCTGTCTAAATGCTCTTTTCTTAGTTGCCTTATGTATGATCTGTGCTATACAAATAACTTGCCTTTCCTTGCCTTGCCTCCTTCGTTTCACTACATGACAAGCTCATCAGTTCACATTGACATTACAACTTCATGCAGCAGTGACAAAGTCTTTCTGAAGCGCACGGATTTGCATTTTGGTGTAATTAGTCTGTGTCTGAAGTTGATCCCAGAGGAAGCAGAGGGCGAGGGATTGGCTCGAATGGATCTGAGTCCACTGTACTTTATTCATGTGTATCCATATCTTTTCTACTTATGAATTGTCTTCACATTTATTATCTTGTTTTGTCAGACTTAATTAAGTAAGTAATCAATTTCCATCAAACACTTTTTAATTTATAGAGCCCTTTACAACACTCAAGGTGACCAAAGTGTTTTACAATGAAATCACATAAAAGGCAAAGGCAAGTTTCAAACACAGGGCAACTCAAAGTGCTGAAAAAACAGGATCACACAAGGCATTAAAATCCCAAATAATCACAGCACAAAAAAAAGGAAAACATATAAAATCCCTCAGCGGTATGCACAGCTAAGCTAAAAATCCATTACAACATTAATGCAATCAAATAATAAAAGTTAGAAAGCATTAAAAAAGTGCCAGATTGCTAATGAGTGTTAAAAGTTTTAAAGTCATATTGAAATAATACGTTTTTAGCCTCGATTTAAAATGACCAAAATCAGTGAGCACTCGCATATCAGGGGGCAGCTAGTTCCAGAGTCTGCTTTGTCAAGGAGAAGCGGAGTTGAGGACCTCAGGATCTGCCCGAGTCACGAACAGTCAAGAGTTTGGACAAGTACAGAGAAGCAAGACCATTGAGGGCTTGAAAACAAAAAATAACATTTTAAAATAGACTCGAAACAAAACTGGAGCCAACGTAATGAAAAAGGACTGGTGTGATGTGTTGACGTCTGGGTGTTTGTTGGTTCAAGCTGCAGCATTTTGCACTGACTTGAGACGATTGAAACAAGTAAAGGGAATTACAATTAAAGCCGCAAGCGGTGTCGAACGGCCCTCGCCACACCGCACAATTCCCCGCAGCGCATAACTCCCCTTAGTGCACGACTCCCCGCGCCGCGCAACTCCCCGCCTTGCGCGACTCCCAAACCGTGCGAGCCACCGCATGCGCGAGTTGTGGTCCTGTTTCCACAAACAGTTGTGGTTATGTGGTTAATCTGTGAGTGTGTCCATATATATACAGTCTCCATTGGATGACCATGTGACGCACCATCTTCCTAAAGCCCTGATGGGAGCGACACTGTGTATTTTGAATGTCTATGATCAATGATTGTGTGTCTAATTGAAAAACTAAACCTTATTCTCCCCATGTAACACTGGACTCAGTCTGTAGGGGGCGCTTATACAGAAATGTCATGTTTTACACTTTCAGTCTATACACACTCGAGAGGTGAACTATCAAATAACATTTTGAGCAAATCAGACTTTGCATGTGCAAACATCGGTCATTTACTTTGATTAATAGCGCCCCCTACAAATATGTTTTTTTAGTCTTATACCAAAGATGATACCAAATAATGAATTTGTTGCCAGAAAAAAAATTAAATAAAAGAATATGGTGAGTTTTTGTGCATGTTCAGTGGGTCAAATATGAGATCAAACAACAGAAAAACCCAAAAGTAGAACAACCGATTCAAATTTGGTGCAAATCGGACTTGGTTTGTGCAAAAGGGAGCTACAGTATGTTTCTATCGTCAAAATGGGGAAAAAAGGTCCCAATTTGCCGCTCCGCTGCTCAAACAATGTTTCAGTGATCAAAATTCCCTGAAGTAATTTTGATGGTACATGTGTTGAGATGATGTGGAGCGATTTTCGGTCAAATCTGTGAAACGGCCGAGGCTGGTTTGATGTTTGTGTGAGGTGTACATTTGCCATAGACAATGAATGGGAAGCGTTTTTCGTTGCCACGGCAACAGGGTAAAAAATAAGCCTTGGGCCTTGTTGACTTTTTGAATCAAGAGGGCAAAAAAGATGTATGTGCAAAATTTCAAACATTTTGAAAAAACTTAAATTTGAAAATGCCCAAATAAAACTTTGAAATAGTCTCTAGGGGGCGCTAATGTGTCAATTTGAATCATTTCACTTTCAAATGACCTAGACCCTAGAGTTGAACAATGTACAGTACATTGCTGACAAAGGACTCCGCCAGTGGCAAAGGAGATGGCTAAAGCTAGGCTAAATGCCTCACTCACTTAGGCACATTACATACGCCACTGTAAACTCAGATCCAGTTTCAATCTGCAAAAGGAGTTAACCCCTCCCACCTGTAAACATAGTCAATGGAGCACCTCCAGACTTTAGTAGGAAATTAAATTGGTATCATAGTATGGTAAGACCAGGCTAATGCAACCATAGCTGCAATAAGCTCTTAATGTTATGTTTGCATTGTGTATATGCCCAATTAAGATTGTAATATTCATATTATGTCTTTCTCAATGTTACAGTTGTACAGTCCATTAGAAAATACACATCAAATACAGAAACATTTGTAAAGAGTAGTAGTAGTAGTAGTACTTAGAATGAGTCTGGTGGGAGGTGGTAGGCGGATGACACATACTGGTTGCCCTGCATTTTTTACCAAATAAATGCTTAAATTCAAGTTTATTTTACCTTAATCTGAGCACATCACGACAGTGTTAAAACTAGATTCTCCAACGGGACAAAGCCATTTAGAGTTTTTTTAAATTTTGCTTTAGTTTTTCATTCCAAAGGAGACGATGCTTGTATCTCTTTAACACAAGATAATTTTTCTTTTCCCATCAGCAAATCTTGGTTTAGACCTCTCTTCAATCCTCCTGTTTATTTTGTGATATTTCTCAATGGACGTTACCATGACAGGTTTCCATGGTAACGGTTGCTATGGCACCAACTTTCAAGCGGATGACGCGACAAGGTTCCGGAACTCCAGAATTTACTATGTGAATGTAGGCCTACACACTGCATCGAAGTAAATCCCAACCGTCACTCCTCAAAGGATTTTTGGAGCCATTTTATCCTCCCAAAGAGGTCATAGCAGCAAGAGATACATATTTTTTCACAGATAAGGCAAAGACTTACTTTTACTACTCATCTTTAATCAACCTGTTAGTATTTAACTTAGCACACAAATACTAACAGAATGAGTGGTAATCCGTGTGTACATGCTTGTAATTCACAAACATGCGGAAAGAACAATTGTCAGATATCACTGGATTATGTAGTAATAGAGATGGGGGACGATACAGAGAACGAGACAGGGAGCTATCTGTCTCGCTTTAAATCTTTCTTAAGTAACTGGAGCATTTTCGGTCTATGGGCTTCAAAGACGGAGAACAAGACAGAAAACAGGAGGGAGAGGGAGAGAGAGAGTGAGCGAGAGAGTGATCGAGGGAGAGAGCGATACAGAAATTGAGACAGAGAGCGAGACAGAGAGCGAGACAGAGAGATCTGAATCTATCTTTGGTAAATTCAGGGTTCTCCTTCCTTGGACTTCCAAGACCGAGAGAGAGAGCGAGACAGAAAGCGACACAGAAAGCGACACAGAAAGCGACACAGAAAGCGACACAGAAAGCGAGACAGAAGAGGCCAGAGTGAAAAGAGCCGAGTGGGAGAGTCTTCAAGAGCAGCTTAACCGA